CCCTGGTCGGTGGTGTCATTTACTTTCTGAACACACCACCGCTCTGTGACCATTTGTTTGGTGTCCTAGAGGCTCTTCCTCCTAAGTACAACCAGGACAGCTGAGAGGAGTCTCTTTCTCTTTTTTTTTAATAAGACGGGAGCACACCATGTTGGACAGGCTGGTTTCGAACTCCTGACCTCAAGTGATCCATCTGTCTCAGCCTCCCAAAATGCTGGGATTAAAGACGGGAGCAAGATGACTCTGAAGAGAGAGGGAGGGAAGAGAATGTGCACTTTATCACAAGCACATTCCCGGGCAGATCAATTTTAGGAAAGGGCATTTGACATTGAGTCTCTAGATATGGATTCCCCTTAAACCATCTGCATCCCTGAACCCTTGGAAAGTCACCTTTGGTTCAAGGATCGTTGCCCTGTCGGGTCTGATGCACCTTACTCCAACTGGTGGTGAGAAACTCCCGTAGACCGGAAAGGGTAAGAGAAGATCCGCCAGTCATAGTCTGTTTCCCTGGTTTTCCACAGAAACGTATCTTGTATGCAATGGCTTTTAGTAAGAGGTATCAAGATTTGTTTCAAGTGAATGACACTCCATCCCTACGTTGACTTTCTATCCATCCTCCAAACTGAACAACTCTGTTCCGAGAGCCATTACCACTCTCCCATCTGCTGGAGTCCTTAATGCCCATCAGCAGGGAATTGGTCATGTAAATTATGGTGAACTATGACCATCATGATGGATGTGACCATGACTTACAGTGATGCAGACCTTTTTAGAATGTCACGCAAACGTCTACAACTTGTATCATTAAGAGTAAAAATCAGGTTAACAAAACAGTACGTTAATAAAATATAAACTCATTTTTAAGTGTGTGTGCACATGCATACCCCATGCATATACTCAAGAAACCAATCAATGAAAATCAAATGTTACAGTCTTGATTGAAAGTGAGAGGCTTATAATTAACCAACCATTAACGTCTAAAATACAAGGTAATGGCACCAGGCAGAACAGACAGGCACAGATATGAGAACGGCGCACAGGACATCCTGTTTCAGACGTCAGGCGCTGAACTCAGTAACCAAATCATTCTTGGGAGCAGTCCAGGAAGCCCCAGGTGGTGTTCAAGAAAAGAAATTAAGTATTGAAGTCAAAAAGGATGAAGCTGGTGCCCAGAAAGGCGAAAGCAATTCCACTAGGGCCGGACTGGCTAAAAAATCGAACTTTGGCTTGATCTGGGTATGAAGTATGTTGAAGAATATGGAAAAAAATTCTGAAGGATTGGCCAGGCATGGTGGCTCACACCTGTAATGCCAGCACTTTGGGAGGCCGAGGCAGGAGGATCACACGGTCAAGAGATGGAGACCATCCTGGCCAACATGGTGAAACCCCATCTCTACTAAAAAAAATACAAAAATTAGCTGAACATGGTGATGCGCACCAGTAGTCCCAGCTACTCAGGAGGCTGAGGCAGGAGAATTGCTTGAACCCGGGAGGTGGAGGTTGCAGTGAGCTGAGATCGCGCCACTGCACTCCAGCCTGGTGCCTGGTGACAGAGTAAAACTCTGTCTCAAAAAAAAAAAAAAAAAAAAAAAAAATATGAAGGACTATGTGGTTCCTGATTTTTTTTTTTTTTTAAATATTAAGGACACTGGATTTGGTTTTTTAAAAAAGTGTCATACCTCCCCAATGTGAAAGTAGTTGACTGTAGAGAAAGTGGAAGGTGTCCACATAGTTTAAATCTCTTGTCATTTTTAATCGCAAGTGACCGCCTGTAATCTCAGCACTTAGGAAAGCTAAGGCGGGTGTATCACTTGAGGTCAGGAGTTTGAGACCAGCCTGGCCAACATGGTAAAATGCTGTCTCTACCAAAATATACACAAATTAGCCGGGCATGTAATCCTAGCTACTTGAGAGGCTGAGGCAGGGAGAGCTGTTTGAACCTGGGAGGCAGTGGTTGCCGTGAGCCGATATCAAGCCACTGCACTCCAGCCTGGGTGACAGAGTGAGGCTCCGTCTCAAAATGAAAATAAATAAATAAAAGAAATAACTCCTCAATGACTAGACAACCACAGAGGATCTACTGCACACAAGTTAGAAATCGCAAGTCCGGCTTGACAGCGGTGACATAAAGATGTCACTCAGGAACACAGCTGAGGTGGTGAACTCAGTGACAGTAGAAATGGACTTACTGAAACAGTAGAATTTATAGGCTAAAAGTTGCTTCATGATGTAGAAAGCATAGACCAGAATAAACTCCATTGTCGACATATGAGGTTTTCTATGGGATGCATTCTGCTGGTATATGGTGGGGGCGGGAAGGCATATGACAGGCAGAAGAATGGAAACAAAGTGATCCCAGGAACATGACCCGGGAGGGTTTCCATCCCTGTTTCTATCACTGTTCAGCAGAAGACAGTAAGTTGCCAAGAGCATCCATACCCCATGTGTTTACTGAGGCCTTGCACATTCATGATTTGGGGTATAAATACTCCTTTTTCTTTCTTCCAACAATGACTTCCTTTAGAGAAGCCTGGGGGATTGTGACACTGCATTTTCTTTTCTTTTCTTTTTTTTTTTTTTTTTTTTTTTTTTTTTTTTTTTTTTTTTTTTTTTTTTGTTTTTGAGATGGGAGTCTCACTCTGTCTCCCAGGCTGGAGTGCAGTGGCACGACCTCAGCTCACTGCAGCCCCACCTCCTGGGTTCAAATGATTCTCCTGCCTCAGCCCCCCAAAGTGCTGGGATTACAGGTGTGAGCCACCACACCCAGCCGGGACACTGCAATTTCAATATCACACATTCTTTATGTAAGTGATTGAATATTTTGAGTACTTCTTTCTCTCCTTGTATTTGCACTTCTTCCCCCCACACCTGGTCAACACCTCCCTCCTAAGGCAACTGTCACAGCGGTTTCCTACCACGTAATAGGAATAGGTTTGTGCCAAAAAGCAGAATTGCCTATAAAATTTGGGTATCAACAAAAAGTTTGCAAAAAGCACCAGGTAAGGGCTCCCCGCTGCAATCCAGTTTCTCTGTCCTCAACCCCACAATCATCCATACACAGAAAAGGCAACAGCCCCTTGGGAATACAGGCAGCAGAGCTCTGTGGAAGGGAAGGGACCAGAACTTGGGCGAGGCATCCTGGCAACGCCCCTGAGAGGAGACAGAACGCTGGGGACACAGGCTCCTGGGTGTGCAAAAGGAAACACTAGAGAGCCCGCCGGCCCGCATGAAGGAGGCTGTGGATGGATGGGGACATTGGTTGCTGCTAGTTATCTTTGCAGAAGGGAGTACCCCACCCCCAAACCTCAAGAACAGAAAGCGAGAGGTAACCTGAGGATGTTTTCTGCAGCCTGGGGGTAGATGAGCCTGAGAACAAATGAAACGAGGGGGGAAAGGTATGATGATGATTCCTCTATAGCTGACTTTCATCTGCACACATTGGCTCAGCTATTGGTGAGGAAAGCAGCCCAAACTGCTAAATCCATTTACACCAGAGTGCAAACTGCTGGAATAACTTCACAGAGTAGGTGTTAAAGCTGGCTTCAGTCATCCCCCAAGACGGATGCATTGGCTATGGAGAGAAATCTTTTTGTGTCTTAAAGATGTCTATATTGTTGCTGTAATGCCTGAACAGATTGAAAATAAAGAGGAATGTGGTCCAAATCACTGCTCAGCATCAAAATGTTTGAAGGCCACCAAACCAATGTGTCTTAAACATAAACACGGTTGAATCATCAGAGGATCCTGTTAAGATGGAAGCTGTGATTTAATGCCTCTGCCCAAGTTTCTGCATTTTTCTTTTCTTTTTTGAGACAGGGTCTCTGTTGCCCAGGCTGGAGTATGATCATATTTCACCACAACCCTCAAATTCTTGAGCTCAGGCGATCCTCCCACCTCAGCCTCCTGCGTAGCTGGGACTATAGGTGTGAATCACCACGACCTGCTATGTATTTTATTTTCTGTAGAGATGGGGGTCTCACTCTGTTGCCCAGGCTGGTCTCAAACTTCTAGCCTCAAGTGCTCCTCCTGCCTCCCCATTTTTTGCACTTCCGACAAGCTCCTGGTGACACTGACGTTGTTGGCGTCAGGACCTGCGCGGAGGGGCAAGTAGCGACACAACAGAGCTCCCCAGGCACCAGAGAGAGGCTCTTAGTGACAGGTGGGGACAATCTTTTCACTGAGGGCAGGGATGGATGGCGTAATGTTGATGGGGAAGGTTTGTAAGGGACTCAGGAGGGTCAGATCTGGGGACTCTGACAGGGAGAGAAAGCCAGCCCAAGAGTGTATTTACCTTGTTTTGTGATTCTGTGGAAGACTCAGGCAGCAGGCCCACGGTGATAAAATGTGGAGTGATTCTAGAGCTCAGTCAGGCCAGTTGGAGCTCTGCACTTCACCCCAATATTTTCACGGGAACCCCCCAGCCTGCTCTTATCGGGATAGGCAGGAGGCTGGAAAAGAAACAGTGCCCAGTAGGGGAAACGTTAGGTCAAGATGCCAAGCAACTGTCGTACATCTTTTTTTGTTGTTAAAACTTCACGCTCTCGGCCGGGTGCAGTGGCTCTCGCCTGTAATCCCAGCACTTTGGGAGGCCGAGGTGGGCAGATCACGAGGTCAGGAGTTCGAGACCAGCCTGGCCAACATAGTGAAACCCTGTCTCTACTAAAAATACAAAAATTAGCTAGGTGTGGTGGTGGGTGCCTGTAATTCCAGCTACTCGGGGGCTGAGACAGGGGAATAACTTGAATCCGGGAGGTGGAGGTTGGGGTGAGTCAAGATCGTGCCACTGCACTCCAGCCCGGGTGACAGAGCAAGATTCTGTCTCAAAAAAAAAAAAAGAAAAAAAAAAAAAAAAACCTTCAAGCTCTACCACAACAGCGTTCTCCTGATGATCACGAGTTATGTTCGTGAATGGCGTTCCCAGGCATCTTCTCCCATGGCCTCTCTCCCACCAACAATTCATACTCATCCTCCCATCCATAAAGGCATAGAACCGTCCAGATACTTTTCATTATTTTTATTGTTTGACAAGCATTTACAACGTTCCATTCATAGACCTAAAAACATAAAAATAGACCTTCTTTCAGCTTATAAAAGAAATATATAAGAACTTTTGACATAGACACGTCATGACCTTATGTACAAGAGACAATGGCACCCTCTCCAAGCACCAGACTTCCGAGTGTTTTAAGATGGATGTGTTGCACTGGGACCAGTAAATGCGACGATTAGAAGCCTCTGCTTCCGTTTTCCATCTGGACGCAATCCAACCGGAGATGATATGGAAAAATGCAGTGATACAAAGGGTATAGAAACCATTCTAAAGCTTTTTAAGAAAACCAGAAGATATAGCAAAAATTTAATAGAATAAAACTTTCAAAAGATCAAGCTCAAAGCCCTGGAAACCCGAAAGGCGGGGGGAATACGGGGTGGGAAAGCGGGAAAAGCAGGCAGAGGCACAAGAGCGTGATGTTCTGAACTCTCTATTGTCTGGAAATATAAAGTCATAACTGATTTTTATAAAATATAACTCCTAAAGCTACTATAAAATTCAGGTTTTTAAAGTACCTACTGATGTGTCAAACACCAAATAGATATTTTCCCCAAAAAGAAAGTTTTCATAGTATTTAAACCCTTCTTAGGAAGTGGACATTGTGACATGGGAAAAGAAAAAGCTATAAACCTTAAAAAAAAAAAATCGAAAGTGCTATAACTTGTTTTTCTTCTTGGTATTTGGATATGTGTTTAGACCGTTAACGTTTTGAGCGTGTTTACCCTGTTTTGTTGGCAAGAAGAATGTGTTCAACACAAGAGATGTTTTTAAAGAGGTTTTCTGTTAAAAGGTTTGGTTATGGACTGTCAGGGAAGGGGAAGGTAATCTATGGATGAAGATGCAATTTTGATGGAAAAAACCAATGATCACCACGGCAACCCCATGAGAAGGAGGCTCCCCTCCCTGCCATGTGCAACAGACACACACACTGCCCACTTGGGTGTCATGTTTAATCCAACCAAACTCCCGTCTCAAATATAGATTCAAACACTAAAAAAAAAAAAAAAAAAAATCTGCTTCTTGGAAAAAAAAAAAAAGTGTATCCTTAGCATGAGCTTGTGGGCCTTTCATATATAAATATAAATCCACCACGCCTCACTCTCTCTGTAAAAGGTTATATCCTCATTTTTTAGGCTCAGGGTTACACTAACACTGTAAAATTCTCATCTATTTGTGCCCCTGTATCTCAGGTAAAATACAAAAAATAGTGTTTCTTTTCTTTCTCTCAAGTGATAAATTTGGATCTCTTTCCAAAGAGTTTGGCATCTCTATAATTCTATGCAAAACTAGAGCTTCCGAACATGGACATACAGTGAGACCAGCCATAGACCAAAACAGGAAGGAAAAAAAAAAGGCTCATTGAAACATGAATCGCCACCCTCTCCTCACACATTCTTAAAATACACAGAGATTCTCAGACATGGAAGAGGGAAGGGTACAGTCAGAACACTGCGAGCTGTACACGTTTCGTTTCATTTTGTGTTTGAAAGTGGTTTCCCCGACTAGGAGACCGATTTCAGATAGAAGGATCGTGTGTGTGCTACTATCTCTTAAATTAATCTGTCATACATATGTCAACTCCTGGGGGTGATTGCTTTCCAGCGCTATGGAATCTTTTTTCTTTTAATTGTTCAGGCCCTGATTCATTGAGAATAAATAAAAGCCCTTGGTAACTATACAGAAGATAGGATTCAAGCTTATCTGGGATTCTGAGCAATTCCTTCCGATGTTGTTGTTGAAAATGACGAAGTTGGGTGGCTACATGGCTTCAGGACCAACCAAGTCAGCTGCCAAAACTGTGTGTGCAAGAGCGCGACCTAAGGGGACATTCTTGTTGACGGTACGGGAGGGTGGGCAGAGTTAGGGCAGGGAGTATCTACACATATTCTCTACGGGGCAGGGCACACAGTCAGATCTCAGTGTTGAGTTTCCGGGAGGGGGCAAAGTCTTCGCGCCTAACCCAAATGACTTCCTCACTTGCACTTTCCAGACCTCCATTGATCCCTGACAGGGCAGCTTGCTTCTTGAGCTGTGCCATGCGGGACGCGTGACTATCCAGGGTTTTCCGGCCTCTTTCCCGCTGACTGATGGAGGCGGCCTGAAGCCGCTCCTGCAGGTCTCTGTCCACTGAGGCGCCCTTCACGGACTCACAGAACTCATCATCGTCACTGAGGATGTCTGTCTCCTTGATGTCATCTTGCTCCTCATACTGAGCAAGATCAAACTGCTCCTCTACCCATCGGTCAGTGTCCCCGCCACCGGGGGGCTGCTGGGACTCTTTCTCCGGGCTGCTTGTGGAGACGGCATCAGAATCAATGGTAAACCTGTTTCGAGCCAGCCGCCGCCTCCTCCTCCCAAGAGACTTGCTTGGGGCAGACACTGCACACACACACAAAAATATAAAAATAAAACCCCCACATGCTTTACATAAGATGAAAATCCAGAAAGCAAAGGACAGGAGAAAATGAAAACCTCAACGGTATGCACTGAATGCCTTGATGTCTTTCGGGGCTTAAGGTCTAGATATCACCGGTGTGTCTTGGAGTGTTTACCTTGTCGAGGTGTCTGGACTTAGAAGATGTCCCAGCAACTGACGGAGGGGCAACAGGGAACCGGGGCACACAGGAGAGGTTGAAGGTTATGGGCAAAGGGGAACCCAACTCCCTCTGAAATAATCTGCTGTTCTAACCTGTGCACCTAAGAGATGAGTAACACGGACTGCAGCTGCTCTAGAGACAGACCACTGATTTGGGGATTAGTGTCCTCAGCGCCAGTCATGTCCCATGACCCAATGCTATGAAGATCTCCCCGGGGTGTCCCAGGGTTGTTTAGCTGGAATAGGTCTTTAGTAAGGCTGGGGGTGCATCAATGGTTTTGCTGTCTTTGTAGAAAATGCCCGTATGCATCAGGGAAGCAGAGGCACTGGTCCAAGTTACTTGTTTTCTGGGAACTTGAACGTAACATTTCTTGGGATCTGCAGTTAGATTAAGGGCACCACATCCCCTTAGAGAGCCTGAGAAAAAGACTGGCTCTCAAAGACACGGAGTCTTCAGTTACGTCCCTGTCTTCTTTCTGACAAAGTCCCACAGGAGCTGGGAGGCTAAGCAGATGTGAGCCTCAGTCTCCTCCCATTGCATTCTGCATTCTGTGTATCACTCATTCTTCTACAGAGCAATTAACTTATCTGTGCCTCAGTGGAATGAGAAATAAAACACCAATGACACCCAAGCAGTTGGATCAACAAAGTGCTGTATAAAGTGATGACTAGTTAAGAAGAATTCATTCTTTCACCTACTGCCCTCTAGGAAGCCAGAAGTAAAAATAAGTGAACAAAAGACACCATCCAATCAAGCCAACAGACAGTCCCACCACATGCATACACAAGAGACTGCTCACAGGGAGGGCTGCTGCTTCTCCCTTGAGAGTGAAGCAGTTATTACGTTAGACACAAAAAGGTGAAATGCAACACAGGCTTTCCAGGGGAAGGGCAGAGTCTAAATGCCAACTGGGAGCTGCTTTCCTGAAACCTAAGCCCCCAGAAATCGTCCAATTGCTTCAGTGTCGCCAGAAGATGCCTCATCTGCATTACCGCCAGATGCAGCCTTGTCTTCACACTCAGCAGGCACAAGGTTAGAGAGCTCAATGAGGGGCTGAATTGGCTCCCATTGCAGCTATCCTCTGCCTCGGACCCGGGTGTGTCTATCACTATCCCTGAGTGTTCTGCCATCTTAAAATGTGGAATAAATGGACACCACTCTTGTTTGAGGATGGGAATAAAAGCTATTTCCAGACAAAATGGAAAAAAGAAATAGAAAAGAGGAAAAAACACCACCTACTTCTATTAAGAGACAAAAATTCTTGTTCACTTTTATCTCAGCACCAGCGAAACACAGCATCTCTCTCTGCAATCACTACATTAGAACGACCCCAACTCAAAGCTACTGGAAATATTTGTTAATGGCTTCATGCTGAAGTATCTAGGGGTCAAGTGTGTTAATGCCTACATCTTTGAAATGTGTCAAAGATGAGGTGATGGATGACAGATGGATTCTAATAGATGAGTGATAAAGAGAATACAGAAAAATCTTATAGAATATAGGTGGTAGGTATGAATTCTTTCAGAAATTCCGTAAGTTTGAAAATTTTCATAAGAAAATAGAACAACGAAAAAACTTTTCATTGGGTTACTGGCAGCCGGAGAGTACTATAGGTTGAGTGTGGGAGCAGAGTGTTTAGCTTTACTGTCCTAGCCAAACAGAACAGAGGGTGAAATCAACCACCTGAGTTTTCAAGACAAAGCAGAATGAAGCATGAGGATCTGTCCTTAGTATGCTTAAGAACCCGGCTACCATTACTGGGTTCTTCTCAGTCTTTTAGGGATGCAATCTTTGACTATTTCCAGTGCTCCCTATAAAAGCTGACCAGCTACTGCTGTGCTGATCTGCTCAGGCACCATTTTAAAATCCTCTAATAAGAAGATTCTGAGAATAGCGAGGTGCCTCCAAAGCAAAGTGATAGACGTTCTTCAGCCAAAAATGAGCCATCAGGCAGAAAAATCTTTCAATCATCGAGATCCAACAGGCTGTGACATCAAAGCTTTCTCTCAGTAATCATGATGATGGATGATGGTGTCAAATTGTAGGCTGGTTTTGTTTTCTTTCCAAATGGATCTCAGCAGGAAAACTTCTGAGTGACAGACTAACCATGCTTAGCTTCAAAGTCAATGCAGCTCTGAAGTTTGGTTCATTGATTAACAACTGAGACAGGTGAGTTCCCTGAGGTTGAGATACATATTCCCAAATCTGTTTAAACATTTCCCTGGCAAGCAAGAGGGGCGCATAAGACAAATCCAAGATAAAAATCTCTAAAATGAGTTAGAAAGGATCAATAAACTATTCTTCCATGGGGCTCCCACGAAAACTGCAGATATGGACATACGCAAGACTCTTAGGATACCTTGGAAAACCTCACAAAGTGCTGGGTGTTCATTGCACTAAGTTTTCAATAAATATTTATCAATTGTTTAGAGGGGAGGTTCACAATAACTAGTCCCCTAACATTAAATTTAAGGTGCTGAAACAATGTAATATCCCATGTCAAGCCAGGTAGGTTTTGTCTATGAAAACCTTCAAGCATTCTCACTTCTGTCCCTGCCTTGTCAACAGGTAGAATCGTCATGGGGACAAAGGCCAGAAACCTTCTGGCAAGTGCAAAGGGGGTCTCTGTTAATGAAATCCTCCCTGCAAAAATTCTGGGCTTAAGAAAGGAGTGATAAAAATGTTAGTATCTTGATGTCATTAAGTCCCTAAGTATACTGAAAACAGCTTTCTTCCTACATAAATTTTGCTGCCATTTACAGGTGGTAGTATTCATTTCACTCCTTCACTGCTCCACTGAGATGGATTAAGTCCTCCAGAGTATTTAATTGCAATCATTTAAACTCTAGATTCTTTTTTTCCAAGAATAGCTCAAGGCTTCCCTAAATTCACATGGTGACTAAAAGTTGCAGGCACAAGGCAAGGAAAAAAACTGGAAGTGTCATGTGGGCTCCAAACCTAGAATCCTGACTGCCGAGAGCAGCCATTGCTGGGCTGCCAGACCGTGGAGCCACCCTGTTCTCAGAACAGAGGGCTGTGACCCTGCTGATCTGTGACACACGGCTTTCTGCTAGACAAAGCTGGCTGTCATGCAAAGCAGCAACTCTCATTCTGCAAGCAGGCTGAGACAGCCTTTCCCGAAAGAGGATGTGTCAGCTTCCCAGCTTGGCGAATGAGAGAGGAGCTCACCAGCCAGAAGGAGGAGGGAGGCAAAGGGAAGGCTGGAGGGAGGGCGAGAGGAGACACAGGGCGGATCCCCAGGAGCCACCAGGAAGGAGGCAAGGGCAAGGAACCTCACACCAGGGAAGAACCACCCTCCTATGTCAGCCCCCACCCGGCCACACCTCACCCCCACTCAACAAGGAGGTCAAGCTCACTGGATTCTACAGCGGAGTGGGGGTAACGGGGATCTTGAACGTCTGAATCCCCACAGTACCTGCCCTGCTCATGGCCGGCCTGGCCCCCTTCAGTGCACACAATCTTTTGCCTCCAAAAGGGACATATTGCTGGGATGAGGGCAGGCTCTCGGTTTTGAGGAGCTGTCTTCTGTGCTTATCACGCAGGACTGAATGCACAGCCTTCAGGAAATCCTTTCGGCTCTCTGGGGAGCTAGGAAAAGAAGATTTGCACACGTTAGAGAACCAGGGCTTAACACATGGGGAACGTCTAAGGTTATCAGGGGCAACCAAACAAATATCTCTCAGGGCCAAAGGCTAAAGACTGAGGCCATGACTCCAATTTCTGTGCTGAGTGGCGATTTCACAGCCAGGGATAAACAGCACATAACTCCTTTCCCTTCATGCTTTGGGATCCATCTTCTGCTGCTGATGCGGGGCAGAGCAGCCCATTAATGAACAGACCTATGGACTGGGGGAGTTTGTACCAAGAAGCTGCCAAATTCTGCTCCTGGCGCTTAAGGCAGAGCTTTTCATTGTAAAATGTTTTTGAGGGCAAATGAACCACAAGATTTGTGTGGCTCTGCAGAGCACCCAAAGGCTGACATCTCAACGTTCCCAATGTCTTCTAGAGCTCAGCTCTCTCCTGTTCAGTATCAACGGCTCCCATGACACATTTCAACATGTAAATATTAAGACTGTGTGGTTTTTTTTTTTTTTTCTTTTTTTGAGACGGAGTCTCACTTGGTCGCCAGGCTGGAGTGCAGTGGCACAATCTAAGCTCACGGCAACCTCTACCTCCCAGGTTCAAGCAATTCTCCTGTCTCAGCCTCCTGAGGAGCTGGGACTACGGGCATGCACCACCACACCAAGTTAATTTTTGTATTTTTAGTAGAGATGGGGTTTCACCATGTTGGCCAGGATGGTCTCGATCTCTTGACCTACCAAAGTGCTGGGATTACAGGTGTGAACCACCGTGCCTGGTCCAAGGCTATGTTGTTAAGAACTATGGGCCCAGGAGGGTAGATCACGAGGTCAAGAGATCAAGACCATCCTGGTCAACATAGTGAAACCCTGTCTCTACTAAAAATACAAAAATTAGCCAGGCGTGGTGGTGCATGCCTGTAGTCCCAGTTACTTGGGAGGCTGAGGCAGAAGAATCGCTTGAACTAGGGAGGCAGAAGTTGCAGTGAGCTGAGATCACACCACTGCACTCCAGCCTGGGTGACAGAGCAAGACTCCGTCTCAAAACAAATGCTTCCTAGGTGAGTTATTTTTCTTGTTTTATTCCCAATATTTTTACCCAGGTAAGTTGCACCTGGTATTCCTTATTAACAATAAATATGGCATCCGTGTAGGCAAGCTTACTAAACCCTGTAAATGTTACCAACAGCATCACAAAGGGATGAGCCAAAATAGATGGCAACGGTGGTGCTCAGACCCCACGTGGTTATACAAAAAACATCTCACCTGTAGTCCTGACAGCTTCCCGGGGATCTGCCCCTTGTTGACCTCTGTCACCCAACACAGAGAAGTGATATAGCAAAAATAAAACATGGGTTTTGACGTTAAACCCATCATTCATTTTCTTTTCTTTTTTTTGAGACAGTCTCGCTCTGTCACCCAGGCTGGAATGCAATGGCGTGATCTCAACTCACTGCAACCTCCACCTCCCACGTTCAAGTGATTCTCCTGCCTCAGCCTCCCAAGTAGCTGGGATTACAGGTGCCTGCCACCATGCCTGGCTAATTTTTGTATTTTTAGCAGAGATGGAGTTTCACCATGTTGGTCAGGCTGGTCTCAAACTCCTGACCTCAAGTGGTCCGCTTCCCTCTGCTTCCCAAAGTGCTGGGATTACAGATGTGAGCTACCACACCCAGTCCCAGTATTCATTTTCTATAAGGCCTTAGGCAAAGTACCATCTCTGAGCCTTGCTTCCCCATTTGTAACCTGGAGTAATAATAGTATTAAGTTGGTGCAAAAAATAATTGCAGTTCTTGCCACTAAAAGTAATGGCACTTTTAGTCACTTTAAATGGTAAAAACCACAGTTTCTTTTTGCACCAACCTAATACCTTGGTCTGACTAAATGAAACAATGAATGGAAGGTGCTTAGCATATTTCACACTTGGTATATGTACCTTCTTACTACACTAGCATGATAAAATATTGCTAACAATCATATAGTATTGATTCTATTGTCTTTTATAGGTAATCCATAGTATATGAGTACTCACTGTGTGGGGTACTGGGTAATTATTGAGTAAATCGCTGAGTGTCTATGATTAAATTAAAGGAAGATTAAATATAGGGCACACTTAAAGCCAAAAACATTAAATGTCATCTGTTGGGGTCATTCATCTCATAGTTTTAGAAAAATAAAAGCATACATTGTATATGGGAGAAGATCTCAAATTCTCATGGGAGGAGGGAGAGGAGAAGAGAAGAGAGGGAAGAAAGAGGGCAGCGGGGTAGAAGAAAAACCACAAGAAATAAGTAGAACCCCACGTCACGAGCCCAGCTTCCCCTCAAGACGTGCAGGTGATCAACACAGGCTGTTCTCAAAACGAGCAGGAATCCCGATAACACCTTCCCACGCTGTCACCTCCTCCCAGCTGACTCTCCATTTACTGTATCTCAGCAGTGTTACAGTACAATGTACCAAACATCAAAACATGATGAGACCGCCACCTCGTTCCCATCTGCAGAATGTAAACACGGCCTCGACCTCACAGGCGCAGCTCACCTGCAGCACAAGTGGAAGACCCTCTCTGGCCTCCCTTCAGACTCGGATTTCACATGGACGATTTCACACACGGCATTTGCCTCTGCATCTAAAGAAGTGAAAGCAACAATGAATCAGGGTACGTTTCAGATGGGTTTATTTGCAAGGTCAGAAAAGCATTTTCCAGCTGTGACAGAGGATTCATAATGCAGAACTGTACAAGATCGAAGATATTTTCCCACTATCCCACGATCTAAAGAGATGAAGCAACTGAAAAGCTTAATGGATGCTAAGAAGAGAACGCTTGGAGACTTTCCAGTTGCTAAAATCTTCTAGATGGTCTAAAAGGACAATCAGTCAATCATATTGACTACACTCACCCTTTCAGCCATGCAGTCTGTTTAACTGAACTGTGCATTTCAATTAAATGATTAGTTGTTTTGGCAACAGTTGGACTAAATGGAGTCAAACCCTTCTATGCGGATTTCATCAGGCCAGGGATGACAGGTGAGCCCTTGCTGTCTGTCAAGGGAGCCTTCCCCCAGTGGCTGGGCCGAAAGCCCTGGAGACCTAGTGGTATTTCTCGTCCCTAGCCTTCCCCTGGGGTCTACTTTGAACACAGCAGAAATGCCAAGAAGGTAAGGAACAATTTTAAAATAGTTTTGAAGCTCTGCAGTGCCTATAATAGTGCAGTACTTTAAGTCAGGAATAAAGTGTTTGTGAAAGGAACAATTACCTGCAGACATCCAGGCTACACATTGTGAAGTCTCACTTTTATCCCGTGGTTTAGAACCCTGGTCACAAACCCTCAACTGTGGTTGCATGATTTAACCTTAACCAGAATCTATCGGCAAAAAATTTTACAAACTTTCCCAGACTGAGATGAAGATGCAGAAATTCCATATTCTGATTCTCCAATCCAATAAAGTAGATTTCATAATGAAAGACATCTTGACTAGTCTTTGCAACTCAACTAAAATAAGCTTTTATCTTGATGATTTTAAACTTGACTAGAATGAATAGAGGGCGAGAATGGAATGTCATGTCACAAAGATGGCTTTGTTTTCAAAATTTAAAGTCTTTTTGTGTTTACTCGACGCAGGCAAAATTCCTGGCTTAGAAGCTGTCAGTCTGCTATAGAAATGAACTTTCCCATTTATAAACCTGGCAGAAAGAAACAAAGCAACCAGATAATTCATAATCTACGATTCTAAAGTAAGACATTAGTATTTATGTGCTCAAACCTCAAAATGCTACTTGTAGCTATCCTAGACTCAACTTACAGGTGCCTGCAAATTCACATGGAAATCAATTTTGCAAATCACATCATAAGTAAAAGGGCGTCCGGCAAATCACTGCTGGAAGCTTAGTGAGAAACCTTCTAAGACAAATAATCATTCCAAATATATTTGCCCTACATGGTTTTTGCATTTAAGTTTTCCTACTATAAGGCAAAAAAAAAAAAAACTGTGAAGGAAGAGACACCTTGTTTAATTTGAAAAAATAATTCAAAGTGTGCAAAATATTGCAAGAGGGTTCTCCCCATGATGTTGGACTAGGCTGTGATGGTTTTCTGAGGATCAGATCCAGTTTTACTGCTTATGACAAGAAGAAACAAAGAGAGGCTACACAACAGAAATCAGACAGTAAGAACTTAACATTCATGTTAGGTATCAAAAGCATAAAATAGAAATTCACATTGACAGCCAGGTGAAGTGGCTCACACCTGTAATCCCAGCACTTTGGGAGGCCAAGGCAGGTGGATCATGAAACCAGGAGTTTGAGACCAGCCTGAACAACATGGTGAAACCCTGTCTTTACTAAAAAAAAAAAAAAAAATAGCTGGGTTTGGTGGCATGCACCTGTAATCCCAGCTACTCAGGAGGCTGATGAAGGAGAATTGCTTGAACCCTGGAGGCAGAGGCTGCAGTGAGCTGAGATCGCACCATTGCACTCCAGCCTGGGCGACCATGTAAAACTCTGTAAAAAAAAAAAAAAAAAAGACGACAAAAGAAATTCACATTGATCATCCACCTGCAGGTCCCCACTGCCAGAGCTTTTCCTTACCAAAGCTACACCTGCTGAGCAAGTGGGACAGGCAACAGGTGTGGCTAAAGAGTTTCCACCTGACTCCCCGGAAATGCTCTTTCCAGGGTGCACCTGGGAGAGCCTGTACACAGCCCATTCCTCCTCTGGAGAACTTGGTCTCAAATTAGGCCCAGGAGGGGGGGCTTCTGAGTCACAGAAATACCACTTTTCTTAGTCAGTACCCTGCTACTCATGTGTTTAAAGCATTGTCTAATTATATTATTAAGTATACTCATAGCTACCCAACAATTCACTTCACTACTAGGTGGATTTTAGAAAAAGAATCAACATTTCCACATCTGTAATCCCAGCACTTTGGGAGGCTGAGGCGGGAAGCTCACTTGAGCCCAGGAGTTCAAGACTAGACCCCGTTTCTACAAAATATTTAAAAAAACAGCTGGGTGTGGTGGCACACGCCTGCAGCCCCAGGTACTCGGAAAGGATAGCTTGAGCCTAGAAGTTTGAGGCTACAGGGGGCTAATCACACCACTGCTCTCCAGCCTGGGCAACAGAATGAGACCCCGTCTCTAAAAAAATTAACATAAGTTTTAAAAAGAATCAACATTGTAAAAGTCTTCACATTAATACCAAAGACAAACATTTGTAATACTTTAGGGAAAAAATGTTTAGTCGATGCTTTTTAGTTCTTTTGGTGGTATTTTCGGATCTCTCAGTTAAAAAGCAAGTGAGTAGTTTACATGGGCTTTGTCTGCTCACAGTCTCAAGGATTCTTTCAAGAAGCACAGGCTCATGGCTACTCAAGACGGTAGTCACTGTACTATTAATATATAGAACAGAATAACTAGAATCTCTTCCAGGAATTTTGAAGACATTACACATCCATTCACTCAGTTCATTCATTCACTTGGTTCATTCATTCAATATTTAATCAATGGCTGAGTAAGTAAGAGGCAATAAAGAGACTGAGAGACAAGAGAGTTAAGCATGGGGAAAAAAAGGTGCTAGGGTGGTTAGACCAAGAGTGTGAATTCAAATAATTCCTACACAAACCAGAAATATGTGTGTGAAAAACCAGCACAGGTCAGAGTTTACCTGCACTCGCCAAAGCTCGAACCTGCAGTGCCTCCGTGGGGATCATGTGTCGAAATCGGAAAGGGTCCCAGTCCTCATAAATGGAAAGCCTGTGCGATCCTACCTGCAGAGGAGAAGGAACCAGCTGCATAAGAAGAATCTAACCTGCCCTGGACCAGTTCCCTACGTTTTCTAAACTGGCAACAGACTCTCACGCAGTAACTCCAGACGTGCCCTGAGGATCTTCCCCCATGAGCTCCTGTTCATCCAGCAGGAAGTGAGGCTGCATGATAAATATATTGAGGGGAGGGTGTGCAAATACATTTGCTAAGCAAATGCAGTGAAGAAAGACACACAGGAAGAGGAGAAAAGGGATCCAAAACAAGAACAGGGCAACAGAGAAAGGGAAGAGCAGTGTTGGAAAGGTTCTGGGCCATGGTAGACCCAATCACCAATGGCGTCCAGTGGATTTTAACCCACAAAAATGAGACCAAGTCGCCAATTGATTCCAATTCACCAATTGGTTCCAATTCACAAAAATGAGACCAATTCATTTTTTTGCTCTAAATATGAGCTTGCCTGAAAGAAGGCAGGATGGCTGATCTCAAGCATCCTTAGCAACACTTAAGAAATGAAAAAAGATTGTAAAAAGGCTCATACTGACAAAATGGTAGAATTATGCAGACACAACTGATAAGCAGATAGAGAAATACTTTCAAACCATGGGGCAACATAAGAAGTCTTACAAGTTTCTTCTTCTGTTTGGAACCATCTTTATACACAAGGACCACAGCAGTTTTGAAGACTGGAAAAAATAAAATAAAGAGTATTATGGCATGTCACGTATAGGGTTTTCCCCTTGACATCACTAACTTGTGGTAATAAACACTACAGTTATGAAGAGGATGTGGAGATCCCGGTTAACTGACTCCCACCTACCTTCCATTCATTCATCACATCTGCGAAAATCAAAAGCCGATTGAGACACAATTTTCCGGGTTCAAAATAAACATAAAAAGCCTACATAAATGGAAATCACCTATGCCCCAAAAAAACTTTTGGGTAAAATATGTTAAGTATGATACCATTTCAAAGTTAAAACTTCAACTGATACATATTCAACAAAAATGTACTAATTCAATAGATGGAGGAATAAATGTCTTTCATAGTAACAATGCAATTCTGAAGATGATTTACATTTATGCAAATTAAGGTAATAGCGCACACAGACACACAGTGATAAGTTAGGAAATATAACTCATCTTTTGACCTAAAGAAACAAAAATGAGTTTATGAAATTAGAATTCGACTGTACTTCTTCCCAAAAGAGTGAATCAGGGTAAGCTCTCTAGGAGTGGTAAATACATAGTTTCATTCTTATATTCTCTCAGGGGGTGAGCAGATACAACGGAGTTATGCATAATCTTCCAGAGAATTTGTTAAGCAATGCCAAGCACGTTTAACATACAGTGATTCTGATTCTTCCAAGAGAGGGAAGTAGAGTTGGCACTCAGAATGGAAGGGGAACTGAGCCCTGCCCCTCCTGTGTTCTCTGTGTCAGGGTCTCTGCTATGGTCCAAATGTTTGTGTTCCCCCAAAATTCATACCTTGAAACTAATCACCATTGTGATGGTTTCAGAAGGTGGGCCTTTGAGAAGTGGGGTCTCTGTCCTCATGAATGGAATTAGTGTCCAATAAAAGAGACTTGAGAGAGCTGCCTTGACCCTTTTGCCATCATGAAGCCACAGCTAGGAAGTATGAGAAAGCAGGATCTTGGACTTCCAGCCTCCACAACTGTGAGAAATAAATCTCTGTTGTTTGGAAGCTGGCCAGTTTATGACATTTTGTTACAGCGGCCGAACGGACTAGGATAGTTTCCATTATCCCTTCCTACTCTGGCTCCAAGGAATAGCCCAGTCACACAGAAGCTGAAGGAGGCACCGCCTTGTATACCAGACATGGAATTACAAAAGGAACGAACTTCCAGAGAATTCTCAGGGATGGGCCCACCAGGCTCAAACGCCCTTTGGAGACGAACCCCAAGTATCTGGTTTAATTTCTATTCTAGGTAGGGCAGGTCGGTCTTGTCTTCTCTTTGTGTAAGATCATGCTAACCTCCACTGCAGGGAAATAAGCCTTGAGATGCAACGAAACTGACTCCAGTCCCTGGGTCTAAACTGCCCACAGCTCTTCACACCTCACAGCATCTGACCGCAAAAGGTCCTCAGAGCACAGACTGGCAGGTTCCCTCCAAAGGTTCACACTGACCAGAGGAGGCACACCAGCTCTGCAGAGCAGCTGAGCACAAGCAATCTGAGGATGCCCTTCATTCCCACCATGAAGCCCTCAGAAACCACAGAGGCTGGGACAGCCAGATCCTCTTAGAAGTGAAAGAGCTCAGCCAGGTGAGGTGGCACATGTCTGTAATTCCAGCACTCTGGGAGGCTGAGGCGGGGGGATCAGGAGGTCAAGAGATCAAGACCATCCTGGCCAACATGGTGAAACCCCATCTCTACTAAAAATACAAAAATTAGCTGGGTGTGGTGGTGTGCGCCTGTAGTCCCAGCCACTGGGGAGATTGAGGCAGGATAATTATTTGAACCTGGGAGGCAGAGGCTGTAGTGAGCCAAGATCACACCACCGAACTCCAGCCTGGGTGACAGAGCGAGACTTCATTTCAAAAACAAAAACAAAAAGAAGTGAAAGAGCTCTACCCCAACGACTCTAATCTCAGAAAAGCCACCATGCCACTGAGACCACAGCTCAGTGGTGTAACTGCCTCCATTTCCCTCAATCTTCATCATCGTGGATCACAGCAGGAGGGCCAGAGAGTGAGCTTTGGCCTGGCACCCAGACCTCAGCCTCCCCCTTCAACTTTCCCTAAGCCTTGGAGCTACTGCTTCTCAAGTGACTCCACCGCATTGCCCAATCCCTTTAGACAAGGCCTTGATCTCCAAAACTCATGCTACTTCGCCAGCGTAAAGCAACCTCTCTTTGCCCCAAAAGGTGAACGTCAAATACTGTTCAAGGCAGAAGCCTATTTCTATTTTTGTTTTTGTTTAAGGCAACGATCACCAACATTTGGTCCACATGAGCCATCCTGTAAGGGAAACATCAAGGTGCCTTGTTGGCAGCAAGTCAACTTCAGTTTTATAAGAAAACTGCACTACTTCCTTAGTTAGAGGTTAGAGGTTTAAACCAAAACAAGACGACAACCACATTTTAACCCCAAATCTGCCTGACTCAGGGTAACCACGATCCTTCCTTCACAGTAACTCTTCCTTATTTCAACTCCTTGCTCAGGCCTTCCATTAGTTCTGCCTTGCTACTTGAAAACACACCCAAACCATCAAACTTGTCTCTTTAAAGACTGGGAATCCACAGCTCACCCACATCCACATCATGACTATAGCCTTTGTTCATAATCCCAATCTGAATCCTTCCCCTTCTCTTTCCTATCACTCTGGAGAGGATTCTGAATGATGATAAATCAGTCTTGGTTCTCAGAGCCTTCCGTTTTTCTCTTGTGAACTACGGCCGCTTCTGAGTTTGCTGACAGTGTGATGCCCTGATGCTGATGCTGGAGTCTGCAGACTCCATTTATACCTAAGACAGGTGTTGCAGGCCCACCTTCCTGGAGGCAGCTCCCACACCGACCTCTCATCAACAGCCCAGAAGGCAGGGAACAGAGTCATGAATGCAGAGTCCACTACCTGAGCCCATGCAGCAAGTGGCACCTAAATCCCCAATCCCAAAACCAGCATTTTCCTGCATCACTTACACCATGGTTTGGCAAACAAGGGCTCTCAGGCCAGACCCAGGCCTGCTGCCACTGGTGTGGTGCAGCTGCTGATCCGGTCATCTCATTCATTTACATGTGGCTGCTTTTGGCTCCAGTGGCAAAGCACGTGGCCTATTGGCCCAAAGCCTAAAACGTACTATATATAGGCTGGGCATGGTGGCTCATGCCTGTAATCCTAGCACTTTGGGAGGCGGAGGCAGGTGGATCACAAAGTCAGGAGTTCACCACCAGCCTGGCCAACATGGTGAAACCCCATCTCTACTAAACATACAAAAATTTGCCAGGCATGGTGGTGAGCACCTGTAATCCCAGCTATTCAGGAGGTTGAAGCAGAGAACTGCTTGAACCCAGGAGGCGGAGGCTGCAGTGAGCCAAGATTGCACCACTGGACTCCAGCCTGGGCAACAGAATGAGACTCTGAAAAAAAAAAAAAAAAAAAAAGTACCATATGTAACCTGTAACAGAAAAGAGTTTGCCAACCCATTTCCTCCTACTTAAATCATTTTCTCATTCTAAATCTGTTGCTTTCTAACTAGAGTGAATCTATAATATTGAGGGCAAAGTCATGAAAACTCTAAGTGTTGACTTTGGAATTGCCAGTCTGTAGGCCCACATCGTGGTGTGGGTCATTTACATCAATATCTTGCACCCCATGAATGACCCACTAAGCAGCATCAGGGAGATCCCAGGCTCCTCCAAGAAGAAATCACAGCAGAAGAAACACAAGTGGTGATGTTGAGAAGAAAGCAAACACTACTGCCCTCACCAAACCCCTACCCCATCAAAACCTAACAACTTGTTAAAATCTCAATACTCCTTTCTATGGCCTTTTTAGTCACGTGCTATCTCTGCACTTACGTGTTCCTTTTTTTTGAGGCAGAGTCTTGCTCTGTCACCCAGGCTGCAGTGCAGTGGTGCAATCTCAGCTCACTACAAACTCTGCCTCCCGGGTTCAAGTGATTCTCCTGCTTTAGCCTCCCCAGTAGCTGGGATTACAGGCACTGGCCACCACATCCAGCTATTTTTTGTATGTTTAGTAAGGATGGCATTTCACCATATTAGCCAGGGTAGTCTTGAACTCCTGACCTCAAGTGATCTGTCCATCTTGGCCTCCCAAAGTGCTGGGATTACATCACACCTGGCCTCCTTTGTTATTTTTAATGAAATGGCATCAACAGCTACAGGAACTCTGGAAATTTTAGGAATATCAGTCAGTAAATTTTTAATGAAGGCTAAGTGATCTAAATAGAAAGTTCAATGAATCTTTGCATTAAATACTCTGATTTTAAAATCACTAGGATATTCCACTTGGGAATATTCTGTTCCTATCATGGAGGGAAAATAAAGTTTAAAGAAGGAGTAAGCAAGCTCCACTCCCCACAAGCCCACAAAAATAATGTAAGGCAAGAGAATGATAAGCCAGATTTCCATTATATTATGTTCCTACCCATGAGTCTTTTAGCAAAAGGCTAGGACAAACCGCAACATAAAACAAAAGCATGGAGTGTTGATGGTTTTATATTCATGAACACAGCAATATGCCAATGAGCATTTACACTGCAACAACAAGCCATGTTTCCTTCATTATGCATAATTCCCAGTATGCTCACCCATGGTTTTTCTCTCTCTCAAAAAGCATATTACAATACAATCACATGAGATCTCTAATTGCAGCAACTGCATCCATCTAAACTGGTTTATTAAAAAATAAATCATTCACAAACATCTCTAATTTCACTAGTATTGAGCAGCAATGTGATTGAGATGCACCTCACAGCTGATCCAGGCATTCCAGAGTTGCCACAACAGTTCAGTTGAGAACCAGCATCCTATATCCTAGTCTTTTTGTTTGTTTTTGAGACGGAGTTTAACTCTTGTTGCCCAGGCTGGAGTGCAATGGCGTGATCTTCACTCACTGCAACCTCCACCTCCTGAGTTAAAGCAATTCTCCTGCCTCAGCCTCCCGAGTAGCCAGGACTACAGGCGTGCGCCACCACACCTAGTTAATTTTTGTATTTTTAGTAGAGATGGGGTTTCACCACGTTGACTGGGATGGTCTCGATCTCTTGACCTCGTGATCTGCCCACCTCAGCCTCCCAGAGTGCTGGGATTACAGACGTGAGCCACCACGCCTGGCCACATCCTGGTCTTAAGACCAAACAGCAACAGAGTCAGGAAGAAAATAAAAGATCTAGGATTTGGGGTCTCAGAAACAGAGGCCATTTTGTCTTGATTTTTTACTTTATTTTTCCTTGGTTTATAATTAACCCATTATTTTGAAAAGATACTCAGAGCAACCGCCAAAGAGGGAAGTGTTTATGTCTGGAGGGACTTGGGCACTGCCATTTCCGCCCACCCACGTGGCTGAGTGACCACAGAGTGCAATTTAACTCGAAGGTTTCATTTAGTGTTTGTGACATGTTGGTGGCTACAGCAGGAAGACCAATTCAAGTAACTGCAATTAACTTTATTTTTAATAAGTTGGGTCTTGAAAAAGAAATGTTCTTGTTTTGAAAAATAAGCTAGACGTTTCCCCCTTCCATAAAACCCTTTTCTGATACACACCAAAGGCTGCCAATTCTGGTTCCTTTTTCCACTTCCCCAGCGAGGCCGGCGGGTTCAGCCAGATCACGGTGGTGTGCAAAAGCAGGTCTCCCATGCTCAGATCGGCAACCTGAAAGCCAGAGATGTGACCAAGTTTACTGGTTGGTGTTATCAATACTCAGATTTTCATGACGTGTGAAAATTCAGCATGTAGATATTAATTTTACTTCAAGAGAATACTCCTAAAAACATTTGCTTTAGTATGTGACATAATGCATCAATTATGCTTGATTTAGCCATTCTGCAATGTAACATATCAAAACTTCATGTTGTACACCATAAATATATAAAAATTTGTCAATTTCTTTCTTTCTTTCTTTTTTGTTTGAGAAAATGGCACCACTTCCCATTGAAACAGGCTGAAGATAGAATATCCAAGTCAACTTTTCTAATGGGAAATAAAGTATCATTATGTTCTAGCCAAGTTTGAGCAAGGAAAAAAACATTGAAATTTTAACAACAAAAAATCCTTTAGTTCATATGAAATCTCCTAATTGAAAAATAAATCCTCTCTATTCCCAAAGAAACACACAGAATACAGGGGAGAGAAAACATTCATCTTTTTTTCCCCACTTTATTCCATGTTTGTCCACTAGAATTTCAGAACAAGATGGCAAATAGTTACAAAATGGGGCTCTGAAATTCACATGCAGTTAGTCTGTCAAAACTGATCTACAAAACTAGAGATGTTTTGTGTTCAAATAGAGACAGTTTCCCAAGGAGATGCTAATTGCTGTTAATGGCAAAGACCCACCCCCAGATAACTGCAGACATTTCTGCCAGTGAGTATCCTCTTTTGGGAAGTGTAAGCAAATTATTTCATTTTCTAATCCATTTCAAAGAAGATTTTATTTCACTTTAGATGAGGGAGAGAGAAGCCAAATAAAGAGTCTGAAGATTCCTCTATTGGCACATGCAGCGTGAGTGCCGGAATCCCAAGAGACCATGAGGTTTAGTCACTCGCCCCCATCAGTCACATGCTAAAAATTGTCAAGTGCTGGTTGTAGAGCCATCTAGACACAATGATCCAAGGAGTCTGATGCAAGTTCAATGTCTATGCCTCATAACAGTCTTGTCTGCTCTTCTCACGGGAATCACTCACCCCTTCCAAACCTAGCTGGGTTTCTTATACAGCAGCAACCTGGCAACCCTCCACTGATCACAGTGCTGTTGGGACTGCCCTTCTCCAGCCACCAAAACAGGCTACTGTGTGGAGATGTGGCTCCATCAGTACAGGATACAGAAGTAGTACTGCCTCCCTTGATTGGGATTATTAGAATCATCACTGTCATTATTTCTGAGCTATAATATCCTAGTACAACCAAGGGTTAAAATAGTTTTCAAGCAGCCGTATTATTTTGTCTATAGATATTAAGTAACTCATCCACCAAACCCCCAGGATATTATCAGACAAGGTAATGACACAGTCTCCACTACCCATCCCCCAAGACCCACAAGGAAGAGGAAGAATTACATACATAAGGCAAATTCCCAGGGGCCACAGCCTTATGGAGTATGCCCTTAAAAGTGATTAAAGGCCAACATGGTAGACTGTACAAACTCTATTTCCTCCAACAGAATTACATTATCTGCACCTGCTGCTATGTGATTTTCCAGCACCTCTCACTAGATAGGCAGGGTACATACATCGCTGCCCAGATGACTTTGGGTATAGCCAAGTGACTTAGGCAGTGGACATGCCATAACAAGCCCCTCTTGGGCACCCACCTTCCAGCCAGGGGAAGGATTTGCCCAAAACAGCTACTGCTGCTTTAGCCTGAATGCTGGAAGAAGAGACAAGGAGCACACCAGAACCCTCAAACTGGAGCTAACCAAGAGAAACCAAACTTTGGTTGACCTACAAAGCCACATATGAGATAAATGTTTGGTGTAGACAACCACTGATATTTTAAGTTATTTGTTACACAACTTAAAACAGGCTGATGCTGTGCCTCTGCATAAGGCCTCTCTCTGGACAAGATTCCCATGCCAAATGGAATAGGAAGTCAGGGTGCTCCCTTTGGTCCCAGTTTCTCACTGGGGCTTCCACTGGTTCCCTTCTGAATCTTCCTCCCAAATCCCAAGAGAGGGTTCTACTGGGAGGCCTTTACCTTACTAAGGACTGGGATGCCCTACTGACCCAGGGCTTTTAAGGACTTCTTTTACGGGGAAACACCCTCTGGGATTCTTCTTTCTACTCATTAAGCAAAAGAGATTCCTTAGCCCAACAACCCAAAGTTTAACATAGGGGTAGGAGGTTGAAGGCCCAGTTTTCATCAAAAGCTGTTTCTTTGCCAGCGTTGTTCTCTGTGAACAAATCTGCCTTCAGAGATGTCGTAAGGCAAGTTGGCTGAAAATGGGATTCAGGTACCTTGTGTTCCTAGAATGTTACCATTTCACTATAAACCTGCTGTTACCAGCAAATACTGATAGATGTTCCTATTCCTGTTTAGAAAACTTCATAAATCCATTCTAGGCTGTTACTTCCTACTGCCACTAAGAGGTAACCACAAAGATCAGGAATTCAGGAATTACCTTTGTGAAAATCTGAATATAATTTGGGTACCTCCACAATCACCTGCCTGAGTCTCCATAATGCTTCCAATATGCTGCTGAGAGCAGTGGAACAGAATTGTCATTGATCTTGGCACAGACCATCCTATTTCCCAGGACTCATTTTCCCTAGGGTTTTGTTCTTACGGCATTGAGGCTACTGTATCCTTTCCAGTTTAAAGGCCATTCTCCTCAATGGAAGGAAAAGAGATGAAATGGGGCTTGAGAGGTTCTCCTTGAGAAATCAACTGCCTTTGAGTAACTGATTCCCGCTGGGGGTCTGTTTCCTGCTTATTTGTCTTGTCCTGCCAAAACACTCTCTTCTCTTGCTCTCTTTGGCCTCTTTTCCAAGCTAGAAATTTTCTGGGCTTTGCACCTCCTGGTAAAAGTAGGATTTTCCTCCTCTTCAGTCCTGGGACTCAGCCAGTGTCCCTCTTTCCATCTTTTGCACATTTCTTTTTACAATCTTAGCCCACGAAAAAGACTTTGTATAGCACTATATCACTTTGTTCCTCACTGGAAAGATGTCTTACATGTCAGAATCTCATTTTAAAGGACTTCCAGTTTCACTGAAGCCATGTTCCTGTCTACAGTCTCTGACTTTTGATCAAATTTGGCATATAAAGAAAATAAAAGAGAATGTAATGAAAATGTTCACTTCCATGGGCCAGTAAAATGCTCTTCTGTCAGAATGAAATAAACCAAAGGAGGAGAGGCTGTCTTATAATTTTAAAAATGTTTATAGTATTATTCATATTAGTCAATTAAAAAACAGCATTAAAATTCTGTGATCGACACAAAATCAAATAAAATTACCTCCAAGATACAACTATTTAAACATATACATAGATATTAATTTTTAAAAAATCAAAATCAACACCAAAATATGGTAAGTTGTACGTCTTGAAACCACAGAAGAGCTTTTTTCTTGCCTTTTTCTATATTTTGCCCTCTGCTTTAATAAGCATAATTTTTTTCTTCTTATATATATATATATATATATTTTTTTTTTTTTTGAAATGGAGTCTTGCTCTGTCACCAGGCTGGAGTGCAGTGGTGCAATCTCGGCTTACTGCAACCTCCGCCTCCTGGGTTCAAGCGATTCTTCGGCCTTAGCCTCCCGAGTAGCTGGGACTACAGGCGTGTGCCACCACACCCAGCTAATTTTTGTATTTTTAGTAGAGACGGGGTTTCATCATGGAGAGGATGGTCTCGATCTCTTGACCTCATGATCCACCCGCCTCGGCCTCCCAAAGTGCTGGGATTACAGGCGTGAGCCACCACGCCCAGCCCTCTTATAATGTTTTATAAGAAAGTGAGAACCAAGTCCAGGGTGCCAACCTTCATTTTTTCCTACACTCTGATAGATTAAATTACCTGCCAAGCAGTCTCGAAACATTCTCATGCTCTGTTTCTCATGTTATATGTTTAAAAAAAAAAATGTGTTTCAGTTGAAAACTACATATCCTCTACAGCAGACCTTCCTGGGCTATCAGGTTCTGACTGTACAGTATCTCTGAGAGCCTCCGCAACACTTTGTAAGGTGTAGGTAACAGAGACGAGTGTAAATTCTACCCAGTCTGATACTGGCCTGGTTGATTTCCTCCAGCTGTGGAAAAGCCAGTTTGTCTCATTTACAATTCATCTAGTCACTTCTTCACTCCATATATAATTCTGTGTGATTGTGACTTTTCCGGTGAACCCTTAAAATGCCTGCCTGGGTCCCCCACATCTCATGAGTAAAATAAATGATAAGATGTCATAATTCTACCTGTTTCTGAAAATTATCCATTAACAGCAGGAAAACTTGTTTCGTTTCACTCAGGACACAAACATGAACCTGGATAATGGCCTTTAATATCTCCGGAGATAAGGTGCTTTCTCTAGTCTACACTAAACAACCAAACTTTGTCCTACCTACTTTTTTAACCCTGCTGCTAGTCACAGCAAGAGTGTTTTTCTTCTAAGTTCCTTCCCACATTTTCTCTTTTTTAAGGTGGAAAGAAAAACTGACTCTAATATTCTAGTTGAATCTGAGTGTACAGGGGCATTGATGAATGTTACCATATATCATTTGACTATGATTCCTCTAAGTATTACTGGGATTTTTAAATTGAAAATTAATAATTGTATGTATTCAGGGGTACATATGATGCTTTGATACAAGTACTGTATTAACCATCAGATCAGAGCAATTAACTTATCCATGATTTCAAATGTCTACCACTTCTCTGTGTTGGCAACATACTTTCATTCAGGTGAGTGCTTCTTAATGACTCAGGCACACCTTTTAGCTTTGCCTTAAGTCTTTCTCAGGTCTATCTGCTCCTGCCACTGCTCTTCCAAGTAGGTTTTTGGGTAGATTTAAATGATTCAGAGTCATCTGAAATTTTCATTCATTTGACAAGCTATTTATTATATACCTGTATTAAATACCAACTATATGCCCACTATGTGCCTGATGTCTTTCTATCTCTGGAGGTAGAGCCCTGGCCTGTTAATAATGCTTCTAGAAACAGCCAGATTGTGGTAATGGAAGTTCACTTTCACACTTAACACAGCATAAAGCCAGAGATCCCCAGGGTGAGGAACTGAGAATCAGGAAAACATTTCCTACAGGAAAATAGCCCAGCGGAGGAAGAAAAGTCACATTGCAGCCTTGGACAAAGCACAGATGTGCCCCTAAGAAAAACAATTGCATCCTATTTCACTTACAAATAACACCTTTAAAAAAAAAAAAAAAAAAAAAAAAAAAAAAAAAAAAAAAAAAAAGAGCAAATGCAAACTCGGCTTTCCTGACAGGTGTCCTGAGAAGATGGGGACTCTCACCTCTTTTTTCTCACCAGTCTGTTCAGCGATCAGCTGGTCAAACACAGCCCCAAACTCTTCGTGGATTTTCTGCATCTCATTGATGTGACTGGCCACCTTGTTCATGGTCTTGATGGCCACTGGAAGAAAACAGGTGGTGAAATGAGAGGCTACTTAGAGACCCTTGTGGACGCAGGCCTGTGGGGAGGTCCTGGGCCGAGGCCTACCGTCCAGGTGGTAGTGCTCCTCGCTCTCGGCGTCGGTCAGGGCGAACAGCTCCTTGAGCAGAAGTGGGTACTTGAGGATCCTCTGGATGGGCTTGATGAGGTACGACTCGAGCGTGGACGAGTGCTGCTGCTTTGGGTTCTGGGCATCCAAGAATGCCTTGAAAGCTGTGTCTGTCTTGGCTGGTAGGGTTTAAATACAGGTCATCAGGGTGGAACGTCCACGTGACTCCCTTCCCACAATTTCCCTCCCTTCCTCACTGAGGCTCCAAGGTGCCTTTTTGCAGCACTGAGCAGAGAGTGGGTGGCAGGAAGAGGGAAAGGTAGGGAAGGGGGCGGTCAGGGAGACCACGGAAGGGCCTGTCCATCGGATCTACGTATTTGTGTGTCATGGGGGTGGGGAGAAGCCTGATGAGTTACAGCATGACGGAGTGTAGACACCCGGATTTCAGACACCCGGATTTCAGACACCCGGATTTCCAGGGGCTGCTGTTGATCCTCCTCCATTAAGCATGTTTTTATCCTGATGTTTTAACACCTGAGGTCTTAGTGTCCCTGGGGAGACTGCCCCGCCCACACTGGCCAGTTCCTGGAGGTAGTCAAAGATTTGCCAGGAAATGTGCCTTTTATAGAGTCCCCACACACTGCCACCTCCTCTCTGAGGCTCTTACGCCCTAGGCCACCATTCCCCTGCCCTGGTCACCTCAGGGTGGGGAGCAGACATCTCGGTTTTGAGCACACCCCAGAGCCCGGCCTCCCCAGTTCCTTCCCTCAGAAATCCCAAGAGAGGCTCTTGGCCATGTTTTCTCCTTACTCCCTCTGCCTCCTGACCGAACCTGCATGTCCTCATCTGGCCCGCATGGCAGGGAGTGCCTGTGCCTCTTGGGAACTGTGAGTGACAAACTGTGGAATCTTCCATCCCCTGAGCTGTTGGTCTTGTCATTCCAAAATAATGATACACCTACATTCTGAACACTCCTTACCCTGGTTTTCCAAGCATTTCACTGCTGGAAAAACCTCTTTTGAAAAAGGCAAGCAGGCCGGGTGCAGTGGCTCACGCCTGTCATCCCAGCACTTTGGGAGGCTGAGGCGGGTGGATCACCTGAGGTCAGGAGTTCGAAACCAGCCTGGCCAACATGGTGAGACCCCCATCTCTACTAAAAATACAAAAAAAATTAGCCGGGCGTGGTGGGAGGTGCCTGTAATCCCATCTCAGGAGGCTGAGGCAGGAGAATCACTTGAACCCGGAAGGCGGAGGTTGCAGTGAGTTGAGATCATGCCACTGCACTCCAGTGTGGGTGACAGACAGAGACTCTATCTCAAAAACAAACAACAAAAAAAGGCCAGGCACGGTGGCTCATGCCTGTAATCCCAGCACTTTGGGAGTCCAGGGCAGGCAGATCACAAGGTCAAGAAATCAAGACCATCGTGGTCAACACGGCAAAACCCGTATCTACTTAAGAATACAAAAAATAGCTGGGCATGGTGGCATGCGCCTGTAATCCCTGCTACTCTGGAGGCTGAGGCAGGAGAATCACTTGAATCTGGAAGGCAAAGGTTGCAGTGAGCCAAGATCATGCCACTGCACTCCAACCTGTGCAACAGAGGGAGACACCATCTCAAAAAAAAGAAAAAAAGAAAAGGTCAGCAGAAGCAGCACTCAGAATGCTGGTAGAGCAGAGCAAGGTAGGGTCTCCCACAGTGATCTGCTCAAAGTTAACTCAAATCTGCTCAAAGTGGCACCAGCTGTTTGCATCTGTGGGCTCCGACCTGTCGCAGCTCAGGCAGCATTTCCTCACCAGCCTTGCCTTCCTGTGTCCCAGCTGGTTTGGGAAGCAGCCCTGGGGAGTTGTGGGGCCCCAAACACAGGTACCAGCAGTGGCTGATAGAAAGCCGTGGCTAATGCCTTCCATGTGCAAAGCAATGTGTGGGAGGGCAACATAGGGGAAGAGGAAGGGACAGTGTATCCAAGCAACTAACAGTGGACACACGTCACTTCTGAGCTGGTGAGCACCTGGGGCTGCTGAGAGGGTGGCACGGCCAGTGTGGGCACAGAAACTCCATGTGCCCCTCCCCCATACTGCACCCAATCACCTCTCAATTTAGCTATTCCTCAGATGCATTTGTGATAAACCAGGAAATTAACACAATCAACATTGGAAAAAGCACATTCTTCACATTCGGCACCTAAATATTGATCTGGACATCTTTTCCCTACTGGAAATTAGACACGGCACTCCACCTGTAGTCCCAGATACTTGGGAGGCTGAGGCAGGAGAATCCCTTGAACCTGGGAGGTGGAGGTTGCAGTGAGCCGAGATCATACTACTGCACTCCAACCTAGGTGACAGAGTGAGGCTCTATCTCAGAAAAAATCAAGAAAAATATGGGTCATACCTACTGTTTTAAGGGATAGTTTTAAAAGATACTATAATATTTTTCTTCTTCAATTAAGAAAAATCCATGAGGGCAGCATTTAATCTAATTGAGTGATTAAAAATAATAAATTGGTCTAGGGCCATGATGGGTATATAATTTCACTGTAGATCAAAGCACTCTAAAATTATTTAACAATCTCATAACAATTAGCATTCAATAAAGGTTTTAAAAGAAACACACTGCACATGCAGAACCATATGACCAACACAGGACACGGGAAAGGTCAGGCAGCATGACAAAGAGAATCCCAGGTCCCCCTTTCATCTGAGGCTCCACCGGGACTCTGTTGCATAGACCACCACTGCCAATAAGACTGTTTTTATCTGGGGCAGCTCTTTGTTACCCAGAGATCTGCACTGTGCTAATATTTCCCATAACAGGTTTTAGATTAAGTCAAGCTAGCTCTCTCTGGCAATAAACATAAATCACGACACCAGAACATTATTTACATATCCAGGAACCTGATCACCAGCTGTTTACTTCACAGCTACAGCGAAGTGTTAAGGAATTGCAGGCTGATTTCCAGAGATTCTTTGAAATCAAACTTTCTGTTGGTGCTACTGTTTGCCAAGAAAATGTTTCCTTAATACTTTTACCATCAAAACCCGCCATATGCTGAACTATGGAGACATAACCTCCTTCTGGAGACTCTCAGAATGTTCCACCGCCTTCTCAGAACCCTTAAGAAAAAGCAGCTTGCCAATATAAAAACTCTGCTTTGTCCTGCACAAAAATAACTACAAATGCAGCAATTTTCGAGGCTGAGACAACTTTAGAAGAGCTTTTGGGAACTGTTATCACACTCCCAGGAACAAAAATAGGTGAAGGAAAGATGAAAGTCCACAAAAAGGTATACAGTAAGTCTTCACTTAATGTAGTCAGTAATACTGTGCTGCGACTTTAAGCAAAATGACATATAATGAAACCAATTTTTTTCCTCATCATTATAATGAAGTTGAACAAAATGACATTAGTTGGGGACCTGCTGTACATCATGTCACAGTTTCCAAGAACCTATCAACAATGTGAAGTGAGGACTTAGGTATGAAGTGTGGTAGGTTATAACTGAAATTAATGAAAAACAGAAATAAAGCAGGGAATTTCTAAACCACCTACGTTTTTACATAACTGCAAAACGACCCATCAATTCTATAGCCCAAAATAACAAGGTAAAACTTTCACTGCAAGAAAATTGACAAAACCATTAATTCAAGATTCTGGCCAGGCACAGCGGCTCACAACTGTAATCCCAGCACGATGGGAGGCCGACGTGGTCGGATTACTTGAGGTCAGGAATTCAAGACCGGCGTGGCCAACATGGTGAAACCCCATCTCTACTAAAAAATACAAAAATTAGCCAGGTGTGGTGGCAGGTGCCTGCAGTCCCAGCCACTCGGGAGGCTGAGGCAGGAGAATTGCTTGAACTCGGGAGGTGGAGGTTGCAGTGAACCGAGATTGCGCCACTGCACTCCAGCCTAGGTGATAGAGCAAGACTCTTTCTCAAAAAAAAAAAAAAAAAAAAGGCCAGGCAATGGCTCACACCTGTAATTCTAGCATTTTGGGAGGGTAAGGTGGGTTGATCACCTCCGGTCAGGAGTTCAAGACCAGCGTGGGCCAACATGGCAAAACCTTGTCTCTGCTAAAACTACAAAAATTAGCTTGGAGTGGTGGTGCACCTCTGTAATCCCAGCTACTCAGGAGGCTGAGGCAGGAGAATCACTTGGACCTGGGAGGTGAAGGTTGCAGTGAGCCAAGATCATGCCACTACACTCCAGCCTGGGCAACAGAGTAAGGCTCTGCCTCAAAAAAAAAAAAAAGAATGTATTGCATTGCTCAGCACCCATATCCATATCAGTGGCTTGCTGGAACATCTATCTGGCAACCAATGACTCTTAAAGATTTCTGTCCAAAAGCCCCCAAGCACCATCAGCCATACAACTGACAAGCGACAGCTCCCACCCACCGCCTCTATATCCTCAGAGGCCTTACCTTTCACCAGGACCTTGGGAACTTTTGTGTGGCTGGCGCAGAAGGCACTGTAGAGCTTGAAGCGGTCAGCATAATACAGGAACGATCCCCCCAGAGAGAACAGCACTTTCTGGATTTAATGAGAAAAGGCACAGTTGGTTTATTTCCTTCCTCCACTGGAAGCAGCAGCAGGTTATGGCAGGCAGCTCACTTCTGCCTGGCCCACCCCACAAATCAACATCTTCCGTGCCTGTCGGAGCCTTTCTTTGCTATCAAATGTCCTAAAACTGCCCACTGCAAAGTATGTGTGTGTACAAGTTGGTGTAAAAGGTGTTGGACTTTTTGCCTTCTCCGTATTTACAGGGGAGATGTTTCTGGTTTTGTAGGTGTCTTTTAATAACCTATGTGAGCTGTTTGAATGTTGATAAGTATATATTTTTGAAAAGTCAGAAATCTCAATCCTCTTATTAGCTCCTACCAGCAAACTAGATAAAGGCAGGAAATGCTCATACTCCCCCCTGAAGTAGACAACATGTTTCTCTGATCACTATCGTCACACCTTCCAAAACCACCCTCTCCTCTAGCAGGTAAGAACATAAGCAATATTAAAGAAAGAAACATGCTCAACTATGGAAATCAGATATCATCTGCCCGGCCTGTGTGTTCTGTCCCAGTAGGATCACATGTGGGTAAAGTCCTTCTCATTAAGACTTTCATATGCCTAAGAGGATACTTTGCATCCCGCCTAGTTTATATAAATATATATATATATAAGAGGCCTCAGAAAAACATCTTCTCTTCTGTAAGTTTCACACTGAAAGAGTATTGTTCAGAGAGAGGCCTTATTATTGAGGCTCAGATTTAAAAAGTAGGTTTCAAGCAAAGAAGTAAGGTTTTTTTAAAATCTGAGTAACAAATAGGTTCCCCAAAGTGCAATTTATGTAATGAATAGTGAAGGCTTCTGATAGTCTGTCCATGACCAAAAAAAAGGTTTATTTAAAACCATACATAATTGGTATTAGAGGCCTCACTTCTCTTCCTACGTGTTCTCCTTTTCCTCCTTTACTTTCCAAGTCCTCCCCAAATCTCCACTCTGGCTTGGAAGGTGTCAGCAGGAGTAGCCTGGGTACTGCCATCAGACCGGGGGGACAGTTATCTTTGGAGCCTGATGTGGTGTGGCTGTGTCCTCACCCAAATTTCACCTTGAATTGTAGCTCCCATATTCCCCATGTGTTGTGGGAGGAAACCAGTGGGAGGTAATTGAAGAATGGAGGCAGGTTTTTCCTGTGCTGTTCTCATGATAGTGAGTAAGCCTCATGAGATCTGATGATTTTATAAAGGGCAGTTTCCCTGCACATGCTCTCTTGTTTGTGCCTTTGCTCCTCCTTTGCCTTCTACCATGATGTGAGGCCTCCCCAGCCATGTGGAACTGTGAGTCCATTAAACCTCTTTTTCTTTATAAATTACCCAGTCTCAGGCATTTCTTCATAGCAATGTGAAAATGGACCAATACAGACCATACACAAGAATTAAGCAAAAAAAGTTGCGGAAAAAAATGTGCTAAATGTAACTCCCCCCTTTAGTCATCCTAAAGCCATTCATTTAACTTAATATTTACTAAGTGTTTATCCTACAGTAACCACAGATGAAACATTAAGGTATTCATTTATTCTTCCTGCCTTAAAAATTGATTCTCAGGGAACACCGTGCACACAAATATGACGGGTTTATACACAAAGACTGCATTTCCCCAACGTTTCTGTTCTGTAGGACCTGAGAATGCTTCTCATAGGCTGATGTACATTGCAAATTTCCATATGAAAATTTTATCAAAACTTATTTGATCTCAGAACTAACTATTTCTGATACTGCCTTGAGACTAGTGCTCTGTGCAACATGGTTTGAAGATTTTAACAAGTTTTTCTTTTTTTCCATCAAATATACAATGAGGATTTTAAAAAGAGCAGCAATTGTGGAAATCAACAGCAAAGGGTTTGGAACCAAATAGCGACTCTCCAGAAACCAACTCAGAGAACTTGAAGAGAAGCCTGCAGGAAGGCACGTTCAGTGTTCATCAGGCATCTCACCTTACAGCTGGAATGGAGACGATCAGACTGCCATATGCAGCAAAGTGAAGGTCTATGAAGAGGGTCCTGCTTACATGGAATTTGGAAGAGTGACCGCTGAGTATGAAGTACAGGTTTGCTATCCTTGATCCAAAATGCTTGGGATCAGAAGGATTTCAGATTTTGTATTTCTTCAGATTTGGGAATATGTGCATTATATTTACTGGTTGAGCATCAAAAATTGAAAATCTAGAATGCTCCAATAGCCATTCCCTTTGAGCAACAGGTTGGACCTCAAAAAGTTTCAGATTTCAGAGCAGTTCTGACTTCAGATTTTCAGATTTGAGATGCTCCACCTGGAGCTAAAAGAATCAACGTACCAGTCCCTCCCCAGAGAAACACTGCTCAGTACACTCAAGTTCACATCAAAGTTCTGTTACCCAAAGTCTCCTTCTTGTGTATCCTTTTAGTGATTAACTGGACCCAAACTCAAAGAACTAGCCCCACAGCAAAAGACTTGTAAACGGATAGAATGAACGTTAGCGACTTCAGGTTAAAACATAGTATTTTAAAGTATGTCTATATCTATTTTTTAACCAACCCTGGCCCACAGAATGCATCCATTTTTATTAAGCAGCTTTTTTGTTTGTCTGACAAACTGCCAGGCCACATCGTGTGTTCTACAGTGCAAATTATTAATTTACTAATTTAGAAAACAGGTATCATTACAAACAGAGACAATTGGACCTAACTGTATTTCAAATGAAGAGCATAACCACCAAGAAGCAACTTTTGAACACAAAAATGAACTACATGCAGTATTTAGGGTGAAAAATATATTATGCTTACAACTTTCTCTTAAATGGTTTGGGAAGAAAATATTTTATATGTACACAGACGCATCATACATGCATAATGTACACACATGCACACACACATACATATACACACAGGAGACAGAAAGGGAAAGAATAAAGCAAATGTAGCCCAATGTTAATATCTGGGGAATCTAGATGAAGGGAATTCAGGAATTCTTTGCACTATTCTTGTAACTTCTCTGTAAGTCTCAAATTACATCCAAACAAAAATGAACACCAATAAATATACATATATATTCACATACTTATGTGTGTTTGTATGTGATTCTTAGTAGCTCCTGTTGCAGAGAGGCAATGTAAAGAGATAACACACACACAAATATATAGACCGAGTTGAGGCAGTCTTTATCCTCAGCTCCTAAACTCGTACCCTAACATTCTACAGCTAGATCCTGCAAGTGTTGGAAGTCAGGCAAAGTGTATGGGGGCCTATACATATATGAACAACTGATTCTTAAATGCAAAAGAAGTTGAGCAGAAAAAGGATCAAAGGACAGTCATTGCCACAAACAGGATTAGAAAAACTGGATATTCAGGCACACAAATTAACTTTGATTCCTACATCAAACAATAACAAATTTAAGTTCAAATAGATTAGAAGACAATGTAAATCCCCAAACTACAAAACTTTTAAGAGAAAACACAGGAAAAAGTCTTTATGATCCTGGTTTAGGCAAAGATTTCATAGATATGACACCAAAAGTATGATTCAAAAAGGGAAAATGTGAAAAACTGTACTTCAACAAAATTAAAAGCTTCTGCTCTGTGAAGGGCATTGTCAAGAGAATGAAAAGACAGGCCTGAAAAAATTTTTTACAAATCCTAGATCTGATAAAGGACTTACAGTCAGAACACAAAAAGAACTCTCAAAACTCAGTATAAGTAAACCAGTAAAATAAATGAGCAAATTATTTGAATAAATGCCTCACCAAGGTGGGTATACTCAGGGCAAACAAGCACATAAAAAAAGATGCTCACCCTTGTAAGTCATTAGGGAAATGAAAATTAGAAACAGAATGAGGTGCTACTACACACCTGTTAGAATGGTTAAAAAAAAAAAAAAAAAAAAAAAAGTGACCGTGACCTCATCAGAACAATGAGGAAGCACCACTGGAGGGAGCTACAGTGGTAAAACCAGTTTGGAAAGCAGTTTAGCCGTTTCTTAAAAAGTTAAACACACTCTTACCATATGACGCAACCATTCCCTTCCTGGGTACTTAAGAGAAATGAGAGCATATATCCATGCGAAAACTTGGACACAAGTGTTCACAGCAGCTTTATTTGTAATCGCCAAAAACCGGAAACAACCCAAATGCCCAACAAAGGTGAATGGATAACCAAGTGCGGTCTATCCATCCAATGGAAGACTACGCAGCCATGAAAAGGGATGAGCTCTTGATACACACAGCAATATGGACGGATCTCAGTACAACTACGCTGAGTGGAAGTAGCCCAGAAAAACAGGTATTTGGTGTGGGATTCCACCAACATAAAATTCCAGAATGCAAATTTATCTATGAGCAGAGCACGGAACAGTGGGAGAGTGGGAGGGCAGTAAGAGGCAGGAGGGAAAATCACAAAAGGGCAGGAAAAGACTTTTAGGGGTAACGATTATTGTGCCCTGTCCTGATTGTGGAGATGGTTTCATAGGGGTGTATGTGTGAATTCATCAAATTCCACACTAAATATATGCAGGATATTCTACTGCACAGTTATACCTCAACTGCTTTGTTAAAGTACATGAGGGTGATACGTAAGGCAACACATGAAGCGATGTGCTTTGTTAACTGGAGATGCAACACAGGAAATCTGCAATAAAAGAAAGCCAAGCAGGGGAGAGGAAATAAGCAGGCTTGCTAAGGCACTAGTCATAAATCCTCATTAGGCTACAAGGACACTGTGTGCTGGAAGATTGTCTTCCTCCTGGATAATGATAAGCATTTCCATTAAGCAAAGCTTCCCAGAACAGGATAAATTAATTTGTTTACTGGGTGACCATAAGTGTCGATTCTAATTCACTAATAGCTAAAGTATTAAATGTCCCCACATAAGCCAAGCAAAAGGTCAAGGTTGGTACATCTTTTCAAGTAAAAGCCAGCAGCTGCAAATCGATGGCACTGGTGTTCCCCTAACCAGACCAGCAAGACACACCCAGTTCCCCTCTCAGACACCCTTAAGGAACCGACCCCAATGTGGCCCTCCAATGAAGAGGTCAATATGATCAGGGGATTCAACGTGACCCACGTATAGCCCTTGTCTGATGCCAGAGGCAGCTTTGCACCAGTTACCTTAAACTGGTCGACCTTCTCAAGCTTCTCCAAATCAGGTACCAGTCTCACGCCATCTTCTAGAGTTTTAAGGAATTCTACTTGAAACTCTACCATTTCCGTTAAATTTCCAAAAAGCACGTCAAGCTAGAAATGAAACAGAATTTAATCCACCTCATATCTCATTAATCTTGCTAAACTTTATTTATATCTGATCACAGGGTTTTTCTATCAATTCTTATCAATTACGGTAATAATCCCACTACCAGAGAGTAGAGCAGGTCGTTACTCTCCATGAGAGACCAGAGCTTAGCAGGCAATGATCTCACCTAGTTACTACAATTAAATTCATTTAAAATGTTTTCAATGTTACACGTGTCCCCCCATTTCTTCCTTTTTACCAACAAGTCAAACCACAGTATGACGCTCACAAAGTTGAAACCATTTCCACCATACCTCATCTTGGGTGAGAAAAGTTTCTTTTTGAAGAGGCTTCAGGTATCTCTCCATGAGACAGTTTAAGTCCTAAGAATTGAAAACACACCTCGTTAGCTATTTTAAAGTCAATAAAAGGATCTAGAAGAGAACACACAGATCATGTCCCAAAGGCTAACATGAGAGGCATTAGGTCATGAAGGTCCATTTCAAGCAGGAGTAAGCCAACCTTTTCTCTCAATATTTTAGGCTTCAAGGCCTAAAATACCGTCTCTGTTGCCACTTCTTCAACTGTAGCACCAAAGCAGGCATAGACAATACATCAAGGAATGAGTGTGGCTGTGTTCTAATAAAACTTTATTTGCAAAAAATAAATAAATAAAACTTTATTTGCAAAAACAGGCAGCAGGCTGGATTTGACCTAAGGGCCGTCATTTGCTAACCCCTGATTTAAAGACCAAAATATACATACTTAAAGAGATCACACTGCTTTTGCATGGGGAATGTGGCCAGGTGTCAGAAGCAGTGACCGCACAAAGACAACAGACCTGATCTAATTAAGACTGTGAAGATCATACTCTCAACTTTTCTAAAAATTAAATTTAGCTTTCTTACTAGGTCAACACCACATATATTTACATGTATATAAATGAATTGCTGTAAAATTGCTAGGCTTCCTTAAAAATCACAAGGAGGCTGGGCGTGGTAGCTCTCACCCCTATAATCCCAGCATTTTGGGAGGCCAAAGTGGGAGGATGGCTTAAGCCCATGAGTTTGAGACCAGCTTAGGCAAAATGGTAAAAAGCCCTCTCTATAAAAAATAGAAAACTTAGCTGGGCATGGTGGTGTGCACCTGTGGTCCCAGCTACTCAGGAGGCTGAGGATGGAGGATCACGTGAGCCCAGGAGGTCAAGGCTGCAGTGAGCTATGAACACACCACTGCACCCCAGCCTGGCCAACAGATCGAGACTATCTTAAAACAAACAAAAAAACTCCCTCAAAACAAGCTTTTAATATTCAGAGTAAAGGCAAAATTCCAGGAGAAACCAAGACACTCTTCATGACCACGGTCTGACTCTGCTGTTAGTGAAAACCGGCACAGACACGCCAACTTCACTCCTTTCCGAGGCAGAGGGAGGGCAGGGGGAGAAACACACCTTCACATAGGTGCGCTCAGTCTCCAGGAGCTCGCAGATCACCTTGCGCAGCTTATCCGCGTCAGAGAGTTGTCTCATGGTTGCCAGCTGAGGCCCCGTGGAGTCCTGAGGAGATGGGCTCTGGTCAGAGGGGTTCATCTCATGCAAACTGCGGCAAAATGCGGCCACCTGTTCTGTACTCTTCGGAGCACAGGGGAAAGGGAAGGCAGAGGTCATTATCCCTCATTAGACTCACCTGACACCTAGACCGCTTCGCAGTGTTCTTCCTGGTTAATTAACTGTCATATATGAATGTTCCCACAAACTGCTCCACATATAGGAGAGCTTCCCAAATGCTCAAAACAACCATGATAACAATTGCTAACATACACTGATCGATTCCCACGCGCCTAGCACCGGTCTGACGCATTTCATCTTCCCACACAGTAAGGACAACGGAGGCCCAGAGGGGTTAAGTAACTCATGCAAGATGATGCAGTATGTAAGTGGCAGAGCTGGGATTTGAACCAGGCAATCTAGTTCCAAAGCCTGTGGCTCTACCACTCCCCAAGAAGTTGATAAATCAGGAGACACAGACAGAAGTTAGCTGCATTTCACCCAAGGCATGAGCCTAATTAATTATTGGACTCCCAGTTCAGTACACGATCTACTTTGCAATGTTGCAAAGATGATTTTACAAGGAGGGTTCTTCCTGTTAAAAATGGACTCTGAGTCAACTTTCTAGATTAAGAAAGATACCCGTACTTAAAAAAAAAGTTTCTTCCTCTCCAGCTTCTTCAAAGGCAAAAAAAGACCACTTCCCTTTAAAAATAAGATGATTAGCCCTAAAACAGTCCTCAATGGGAGATCCCAGTCTCCATAGCTACCAGGGATCAATCAGGTGCAGACCATAAAGGTTGCACATATTTTGTTATCCATTTGAAATTTAGAATTCCGGGATTCTAAAATTCCAACTCTTTCAGTTATGCAAACAGTTCTGCAAAGCATGGGCTTCTGTAAAAACTCACGGGACCAGTAGTTCTCCACCATGGCTGCTTATAAGAATCACCTGAAGAGCCTTTAAACAGCCCAGTGCCCATGCACACCAGAGATCAATTTAATCAGAATCTTTGGGGTGGGATGAGCAGATATCAGTATTTATTTATTTATTTTTTTTGAGACAGTGTCTTGCTCTGTTGCCCAGGCTGGAATGCAGTGGCATGATCTCAGCTCACTGCAACCTCTACCTCCCAGGTTCAAGCAGTTCCCTGCCTCGGCCTCCTGAGTAGCTGGGATGACAGGCACACGCCACCACGCCTGGCTAAATTTTGTATTTTTAGTAGAGACGGGGTTTCACCGTCTTGGCCAGGCTGGTCTTCAACTCCTGACCTCGTGATCTACCCGCCTCGGCCTCCCAAAGTGCTGGGATTATAGGCGTGAGCCACGGCACCTGGTTGATATCAGTATTTTTTAAAGCTCTCCACGTAATTGCTCCAGAGGCGATTTTATAGCACAAAATCTAATTCACTAATACTTGTTCCAATGCACCACTCAATGTTGGGTGGAAATTTTCTTGAAGGTAGTGGCTGCCTTTCTCACACTTCTCTCTCTGCTTCTCTTGTCTTATTCAACTCTAGGCACAAGGTATTTCCAGTAAATACCGGTGCAAATAAACAATAACTTCTATCACCCACCTACCTGGCAAGAACATGAGAATATCCTCCCCAAAAACAACAGTGGGTACACAGGGCGAAAAGTCAAGCGGGTGTTTTGTGCAGGGCAGAAAAGCTAACATCAAGGGTATGCCATGGAGCAATTTTAAACACAGAGTAAGGCAGCTAACATTGAAGAGCCTTTCCATCATTAGCATATCCAAAAGGGAAGGAAGTCTGGAATAAAGATGGAGCAAACACAGGGAAAATCAGAACCTAACAAAGACATTAGCTGTAGTGGCATGACAGGACAGAGAGCCAGCACCCACATCCACATAATTATTACTCTAATTATCTTACAATCACCACGGCTTATTTGTTGCTAGCACTAACACTGATCTTATGTGTTGAAGGTGTCAGTCACACGTCAGTGGCACTATTTGGAACTATTCAATGTTTTCTGTGGAAATGCATGTTTCTGACATGGAATCACCCCACAAACAATTTTCCCCTAGGTGACTGTAAAAATTCATCAAAATGGGCTGAGCTGCATGGTATGTGAATTACATCAGAACAAGGCTGTTAAAAAAGAAAAATGATATGTTTTTGATCAAAGTTCACCTCAGTAGAAATAAACTCAACTATTTTATTTAGTTATGCTAGAATTTCACTAACTCGGCCTGGGGAAGTGGCTCATACCTGTATTCCCAGCACTTTGGGAGGCCAAGGCGGGCGACACACTGGAGGTCAGGAGTTCAAGGCCAGCCTGGGCAACATGGTGAAACCTCCCTCTCTACTAAAAATGCAAAAATTAGCTGGGTGTGGTGGCAGATGCCTGTAATCTGAGCTACTCAGCAGGCTGAGGTAGGAGAAACGCTTGAACCCAGGAGACGGAGTTTGCAGTGAGCGGAGATCACACCACTGCACTCCAGCCCGGAAGACATGGTGAGACTATATCTCAAAAAATAAAGAAAGAAAAGAACTTCACTAACCCAAAATCATCATTAAATATACAGTCAATTAGGGCTTTGTCTTAAAAATTACAAAGGAACAAATACATCCATTTTAGCAAAAGTCTTCATGTGTCTTTTAGATGATCCAGTGATAACCATAATAGAAAACTCATTATAACATACTTATAATGAGAAGGAAAGAAAACCCTTGCCAGAATGAAAATCCATGGACAGACAGTGGTAACAGCTGACAACTAACTGTGCCCTGCCCTTATCTTACCCCAAACTCTCCTTGGTTGCTTTGATTTGGTACCTGGCAAAGGCACCTAACACAACAAATGTATAATTGGCACCTCTGTTTACACTATGCTTTTCTAAATGTTCCAGTTGTAACCACAGCTGTCTGTTCTTCACAGAATTAACAGAAAAGCTACCACTCATGGCAAATAGATCCTTCACTGCAGTCTATTACAGTGAGTCTTGGCTTAACATGGTTTATAGATTCTTGGAAATTGACAGAAGAAACCATTTTTACTGTAGGCTATGATACAAATAAGTTCCTACAGCACACTTCAGGTCACAAAAAGCATCACCACGCTTCTAAATAAAGACCAAAACACTTCTAATATTAAACACTGAAATAAATGTAAGCTAGATATACGTTTAAGTAAGATAAACAAAAACAAGTTAAAAGAACTACCCAACTTTTGGTGGACTGGTAAGTGACAGTGGTCATAGTGGTAGTGTGTTAAGTCAAGCAATAAATGTCTGCAAAGCAAAAATTGTAAGAAGCACCTCCTCCCACCATGCAGCTCAAAACTAGCAAGAAGAACTTTGGCAGGATCTCTGAGTACTTTGGTACTGCCCAGTTTACTGCTATGCATTTGTATGATTGTATGCAAATTCTTATTTTATAATGATTTGTATTCATTTATTCATCATTTTCCAACCCACTTATTCCAGCTCAGGGTCACTGGAGCCTATCTTGACAGCTCAGGGTGCAAGGTAGGAATCAACCCTGAATAGAATGCCATTCCATCATGGGATGCGTGCACACGCACACGAACACACACACACACACACACACGGACCACTGAGACATACCAATTCATCCCACGTGCACATTTTTGGGATGTGAGAGCAAACCTGAGTATCCAGAGAAAACCCATGAAGATCTGAATTGAACACACAAATTCCACATAGACAGTGGTCCTAGCCAGAATTTTTTCACATAAGCATTATGATGAAATGACATTGAATAAAACGTTATCTGAGGACCTGCCACAGAGGCACAGCACACCTTTTATGATTTAGGCAAACTGTCCGTGTGAAATCAGTGATTCACAAAAGGCAAACCATTATAAACATGGGGATCTGACACATATCAAAGGCAGGAAATTCCAAAAGACAAAGGAACCTCACACATTCCTTTGTGCCTCCGATTCACACCTCACTACCTCTGGGTTTCCATTCCATCTGTTCTACCAGAAATACTTTGAGAATTCCATTTTTAAGAGTGTGAATGGGGTTTCTGGCTTTGTCTATGTAAAGTTTACCCCCTCTGAGGTCTGGCATCCTTCGTTTCAAGCAGGCCTGTGGGGCGAGCTCAGGTGAGTAGGAGGCAGGCTAGGGCTTTGGTGCTCTAAACCCAGCTGTATCCTACCTCAACCTCACCCTCAAACAGCCAGAGCTAAGTTCTGAATTATATTAGGAAATACCTTTAGCATCTCAGGGGACAACTAAAATTCCGTTGGGTCCTCTTTGGTTATTTCACTGCCTTAAGTATCCTTCTTTTTTTGTTCTTGGTTTTTTTTTTTTTCTTTTTGAGATGGAGTCTAGTTAAGTTGCCAGACTGGATGCAATGGTGCGGTCTCGGCTCACTGCAACCTCTGCCTCCCAGGTTCAAGCGATCCTCCTGCCTCAGCCTCCTGAGTAGCTGGGATTACACGCACATGTCACCACACCCAACTAATTTTTGTATTTTTAGTAGGGAAGGGGTTTCACCATGTTGGTCAGGACTTCTGACCATGTGATCTGCCCACCTCAGTCTCCCAAAGTCCTGGGATTGCAGGCGTGAGCCACCGCGCCTGGCCAAGTATCCCTTCTTTATCAGATACAACCTAAGCCTATCACAGATTTAGCTGAGTGGTTTCCAAAGTTGAGCAAAGGGCAGAACGGTTTCCCCACTGGCAACCCTATTCAATGACTCAAGGCACCAACTCTCAGGTGTAGCACAAGGAACTGAGTCCAAATGGATGTAATCTCTTTACTGTCAACTGTATGTTATTTGAATAAAGAATGAAAAGGTATCATATACATAATTACAAGTTATAATGATATCAATGTTGTTAAGGGGTGTTACACACAAGGCTCTTAAAATTTGCTTGGAAACAATTAATGTAAAAGGATATCATCAAGTTTGAGAATTCTGTTTTATTAAAATATTAACCCCATGAAATGTTTTTTGGAAGGAATTATGAAATGCAGGTTTTCTTTGGAATACTTCTAAGCTAGAGATTTTTCCACACTGTGGGGCTCAGCTTTTAAGTCCCCCTCCCTCTCTACTGTGGCCAAACTTCTTTACATCAAAATCCGT